CGGGGCGGGGCGCGCCGAGGGGGCGTGGCGCGCCGTCTGCGCAGCTGCCAGAGCCTTTAAGCCCGGGCTCGCGCGGCCGGAGCGTGCTTTCGCCGCCCGGCCCAGTACGCGCCAGGTCGCTGCCGTCCCCGCGGTCCCGCCACTTTGCGTCCCGGGAGCCGGCTCAGTCCGGAGCCGCGCGCCTCGCGTTCGGGCATGCCCCGCTACGAGCTGGCTTTGATCCTGAAAGCCATGCAGCGGGTAAGTGACCTTCCCTCGGAACCGGTCTTCCCGCTCGGGCGTCCCCGCCGCCGCTAGGCCGCCTTTTTCCGCGCGCCCCGGCGGCGGGACCCCGGGTCTCCCCGCGCGGCCCAGAAGAGGCCGGGGTGGCGGGCGGCGGGCGTCCGCGCGGAGGGGGCGCGCGTGGGCCGGCTCGGCCCGGCCGCGTGCGCGCGGGAGGCGGGGTTGTGCGGCGCGTGTGCGCGGCCGCGGGAGGGTGTGCCTCGCACGCGGGCGGGCGGGGGGCGGGGCGGCCCGGAAGGGCCCCGGCCCGGCCCCGGCCCGTGGGAGTCCAGTGGAAGGCCCGCGGGAGGACACGCGCGGGAGGACACGCGCGACAGCCCAGCCCGCCTCCGGCCTCGGCCCGCCCCCGCTCGTCGTGAAGCTGCCTCGTCGCCGTCCCCGCCGCCCGCTCCGTCCCGCTCCGCCGCCCGCCGGCCTTCTCCGCCCGCCTCCACTCTAGCGCCCGCCGGCCGCCCCGGGACGCCGGCGCTCAATAAAGCGTTCCTCCAAAGCGTGTCTGTGCACTTGTCTGTACCGCGGTCGCTTGTAACCGCTCTCACGTTAAAAAATCTTTGATTTCTCTTTTTCTGACTTCAGCGAAAATCCTGCTCCGGGTGCCTTTAGCCCAGTTTCATTCATCCAAGTTGTGGCCTTTCTTGCGCCTTCAGAAGACACTTTTCTCCCCACTGCTTTTGATTGATCTTGAGGTAGGGGATTTCAGGTTTGGAGGGATGATAAGCGAACCAGCAGCTTCAGGTGATGGCGTGGCCAAGGACAGGGGCCCGCGGCCCGGAGGCAGCTCTTCGTCCTCAGTTCTGGGTCAGGTGCTCCTCAAGTCGTCGCTGAAATCCCCATCTTTCCGTGAGTTCGGTAACGTAGAGTGTGATGTATGCTTCTCCCCCTCTGCCCCCACCTGCAGGTATAATAAATAAAAATCGTACTACGTCTGAACTTTGGAAGCATAGCTTCCTACAGCGACAGAGGTGTGGATACATTTTATATTTGGGTCAGGCTTTGGGTCAATTGTGAAGAGTACCTGTTACCAAGTTTGGTTGAACTTAAGCCTGGGATCATGGTCCAGGGTCTTTTGATAAACGAACAATCACGGAGCATAGGAGATTGTCAGAAAGTGTGCTTTGCACACTGTCAACTGGCAAAGGACGCCAGGGCCTCTTGACCAGGGCTAGACAGTCTGACCAGGCATGCCATTGTGTCCCCAAGCTTGTTCCTGAATTTGGGAGAAGTTAAGATTGTATTGTTTAGCCTCTTGAGTATCCCCCTTGGTTCTCCTCCTTCCTTAACCAGTACGTAACAGCTTAGAAAGGGTAGGAACAACGAAAAGAAAACAGCAAATTATTGAAAAGGGAACATTTTTAACGAAGTGGAAATTGTCTAAGCCTTCCCTTTAACCCATGGTTTTTAAGAGATGTAGAACCTGGGAAATGTGGTTACTGAAGTTTTTTTTTGTTTACCTTGTCTTGGGAAGGTAGCAGGTGATCACTGAAGAGGCAACACAGGCATAATATTACATATTCCATAAACCTTTGAAGTAAGACTCTGCACTCCTTTGTTTCTGGCATAGCTGCCCAGTACCTTGGTTAACATGAATGCAAGTATATTATGCTACTTGGATTTTTTCGTATCCTGTAACAACCAGGATTCACAGTCTTTGGGTGTGGAGCATACAGTTTTTATTCTAGTTCAGATAAGCCAAGTGTGGTTTGGTTAAAATAATAAATACCTTCCTTGAAATCCTTAGCTGAGGGCAGAGGGCAAAAAAAAAAAAAAAAACCAAAAAAAAAAACCACCTAGAAAGCTGGTAATAAAGGTGAACTGCTCCTTAGAGGAGGCAGAGGGGGTGTGGTGGCTGGGGCAGTAGATGGAAGGTTGTATCAGTGGTTAAGTTGTGTTGAGGAGATCCTTGACCTAAATAAAGTAAGACTAAAACAACAAAAACTTCTCATTTGTTTTGTTCAAAAACTTATGTTTGAGCTAAAGTAGGATGAATACTTGGGGGGAAAAATGAATGAAAAAATTTAGGTTTAATGTAAAATGCAACTGTGAGCTTCCACACACCTAGCAGCCCCTGGGGAAACCTCAGTTCTAAGCTGAGGCAGTGCGTGCTTCTGCATGCAGGAAGGCTATTGTAACTCCTCAATTCTAAGATTATGCATCTTTCATGTTTTTGGATTCTGAAATGTATATCTCTTAAGGTATCCCTTTAATGTGATGGTTTATTTTTCCTTCTCTCTGCCCCAGAATCATTTATGTGTCTTGGAATTGAGGAGTATGCCATGTTAGGCAACTTTTATGGCAGATGGGGCAGTTAAGAGACCATAGTTTTTCCAGCCTTTTCTTGGAGTCCCAGAAACTCCTCTTTCTTTCCTGTGATAATTTATGAGCCTGAAGAGCATTCTTAGTCTCTTTGGAGGGTGTTACTCCCCCTCTGCCCTAGCTTGACTCCTTAAAATTGAGCATACAGAGTTTTTATTTTATTTTTTATTTTATTTTATTTTTTTGAGACAGAGTCTCACTGTGTTGCCCAGGCTAGAGTGCCGTGGCGTCATCCTAGCT